AGAGAGAGAGAGAGAGAGAGAGAGAGAGAGAGAGAGAGAGAGAGAGAGAGGAGCGATACAAGATTGGTTGTTGTGGCTCAAGGAGGAAAGTGGCGACCATAGCCGCCGAGCTCGGACACGGAGAGGAAGAAGAAGGAACGGACCGAAAGTGAGGAAGTCTACTTGGTCAGGAGTGGAACAGTCCCTTGTTGTGCACCGTTCACCATGGATGACTATCCGATGTATGGCTTGGTCGTGGGGTTCTCCCTATGGGGGACCCTTTGGCCTTCGCTGATGAAAGCCCTTCAAGATCGATTTGCAAATGTCACTAGGGGGCTCAAGGCCTTTGACAAACTGCAGACCATGCACTCGCGACAATGGAAGAGTGTCAGGGCACTCAAGGGTGTGATGGACAAGTTAGTCCCCGTCCCTGACAATGGGGTTACTGAGCCCCAATTGATTCAGTTATTCTTTCGTGCCATGCCCGAGCATTTGCAAGGGCACTTTTACGAGAAGAGTAAACAACCCAACATGACCTACGATACACTTAGTAGGGATGTTTTGGCTTTTGAGGCACAGTCCATGCCAACTTCCACTTTCTGGCACAAGGACTTGGACAAGGCCAAAAGTGGAAGGGGCGTACCGTCTCTGGCCAAGTCAGGGCCAAGGATCATCTGATCCTCACTTTAGATGAAGGTGGTATGGAGGAGGTCTCGTATAGTTAGATTGAGTGGGGCCTCGAGGAGGAGGACAATAGTGTGAGTCAGAGGAGCACTTATGCTGCTGTCGCGGCCGGAGGGAGGTTGCAAGGAAGAGGAAGAGGCCAGGGCAAGAGGCCAGGGCAAGAGGCCAGGCCTTCGGTGGTCGAGGACAGGGCGGCCAGGGGGGTTGGCGGCAGAGGAAAACGCCAAGAGGGAAGTAGGGGTCAAGGTCCCGCGCAAGACCGTTTGCATTCCATTCGGTCACCTCCCAGGAGGGGTGAATGGCACCCCGGCCTGCCGCAAGGCAGACCCTGGGAAGTGCTGGGTATGGATCAGACAATCTGGCAGAGGAGGATAGATGTGGGTCAGTGCATCTACTGCGGTGACCCAGGGCACATTATCAAATACTACCCCAAATATAGAGATGCCCGGCGAGCTGCTTCAGAATCAGCAAAAGGCAACCGCCGGTAGGGGTAGCAACTGCCCTTACCCCTAGACCATGTGGAGAAGAGTGCGTGCACCATAGAGAAACTCCCAAACCACATGTGTCTATCGCAGAGGTTGCTGGCCAGCGTCTAGATAGTTGTCTAGAGACTGCTTGCGTTAAAGTCTCTCTAGGCGCTTCCCTCACAGGTCTGGCAGAGGAGTTGAAAGAAAGGATGCCAGCCTGGCCAAGATAAAGAAGGATGGGAAAGGACAACTAGAATTAGTAGATGTAGAGGTTTTTGGCGGTAGGGTAGGGGCCCTTATAGACAGTGGGGCCACCCGCAGTTATATTAGTTGCAAAGCGCTGCAAAAGTCGAGGCTAAATCTGAAAGTCCAAAAGCTAGAAGATCCCATAGTCAATATCCTCGCAGACAATCGCACTATGCGAATCGAGGAATACGTCGAGGGAGTCATGGCATACTTCCGCCTAGAAAAAGATGAGAAGGTAGAGAGAGTTTTCCATTCCCTGACTCTCCTCGTATAGGAGAACCTCATATTCGATATGGTCCTAGGAATGAACTGGGGGGAGGCAACAAGAGCCACACACTGCACTTGAGAGATCATGAGTGTAGGCTTCCTGGTCCTTCAGGCGACGTCAAGACGACTCGCCTGTTTCATGTATCAGGAATAGATAACCCGCTCGCACATCGCTGGCTTAGTGCTCCCACGTTTGCGCGTTTAGTACAGAAGGAGTAATTAGAAGAACAAGTTTTTGTAGCCTATGTTAGGCCTATCACTGAGCCCAAGGAAGAGGAACCCACCCACCCACTTATTGCCAAGCTGCTGGAAGAATATGCCGACTTGTTAGAGCCACCTACATGAGTAGTGTTGCGACCAATCCAGCATCGCATTGAGATAGAGCCTGACAGTAGAACCCCTACGGGAACTGTCTACGGAATGTCCCCAAGGGAGCTAGAGGAGTTGCGCAAGCAGTTAGATGAGCTCCTCGAAAAGTGTTGGATTAGGCCCTGTTCGTCTCCATTTGGAGCACCTGTTTTGTTTGTCCTCAAGAAAGAGGGAGAGCTTCGGATGTGCATTGGCTATAGGGGTCTCAACGTCATCACAGTAAAGAATGTAGAACCACTACCCCATATAGATGATCTGTTACATCGGGTGCAGGGCTGCAAGTACTTCTCTAAGATAGACTTGAAGT